GCCATTTGGCATTGGGGGGGTAACCAATATCCTGTATCATTTGAATTTTAATTATATCTCTATAACAATAACCAAACTGCATGTAACTAAGGTCAAACTTACTAAATAGTATCTACTTTTTGCTTTAAAACTTATTTTAATTTAATAGTTTTCTTATAATTTTTTTATGCTTAGAATGTTAATATTTTTTATATTGATCAGAAAATACTGTTTCATGTATCCAACCAGTTTCAACATTTATTCTGTCAACTACAGGAGACACAACTGGCTATAAATAATACAAAAAAATGACAATAGTGATCTACACCCTGATCTGTCACAATGGCAACAGGTGAGGCTAGTTAACAATATTATTGGTTGAATTCAATTACTATCTAACAAATATACTTCATTTTCAATCAATTATAGGTTTGTCTATTACTCTATAATGTTTTAATAAAATAAACTTGACAATAACATTCAATAAACAAGGCCTTGAGTTACTGGAATATTTTACTGTTGTCTATCATACTCTCTAAACCCAGTAAGGCTTACCTGATGTCTTGTAATGGAAAATTAGTGTAGCTTTCAAAAAATTATAATCTAACAAACATTTTCAGGAGTTAACAGAACATCTAAAGAAACTAAAAAGTTCCCACAACTTCCCATTGTTTTATTCTGATTTAGCTTAGTTTTGTCACTTTCCAAAAAACCATAAATTACTCCTCACAGGATTTTAGGCTCTACAGTAATTTATATATTTTATTATCTGCTCTAGCCAATCATTTTTAAATGGCTGTAACTATTTTACAAGCAGAGCTGCATTAGTAGTTGGAATGACTATGTACTGCAGTCATAAAATTGTGGGAAAGATAGGATATCTTAAAATCAGAGACAGGGAAAACCACATAAGGAAAAACAATCTTGAAAAAGGATGATAGTTTCTTGATAAATATACATCCATGCTTTGAGATACAGAGAAAATCTTCAAAGTTGATGAATGCATTGTTTATAGGTAAGGTTCTTTGGAGCTGTGCAGAAATACAAGTTTGGTTATTTTTCTTTATAAATTATACCAAACATTATAAAATGACAAAATATCTATTCTAAATTTTTTCCCAGTTAAAAATGATTACTTTTACTTAAATTTTGAAATTTGCTATTCTGGTCATACTTGAAATCTGAAAGGTGCTCAACAATCAGGAAAGTTAGTGAAATTATTCAATTTTTTTTATATCCAAACATTTCTATCCACTATCCATATAGACCACCTAGAGGAAGACTACATACATACTTATTGCTTATATTACATTTAATCCTTTCCTAAAATGAGCAGTATTCCCAAGTAGTATCTAGTTTCAGCTTGAATAAATTAAAATAATTTGATACATTGTTGTTTATTTTATAGGTATATTCTAAGACACTGTTTTGACAAAAAAAATTAAATACTCCATTTTGTCTTAAAATTTGAAATTCATTGCTGATCAGAAAGCTCATTTTATATATCTACTCAGCTTTAAGTTGATTGATATTCATTAAAATATTTCTTACAATACTTTATTTTGCTAATTTTAGTAGTCACTATTAGCTAAAAATAACAAAATAAAGCAAAAAACCTATTTATCAGTGACCCAGAGCCTCACCTTTCTACACTGCATCACAGTTACCTTTGCCAAGCTAGGTACTGTAAATTTGACTAACAGTATTATTCATTGAGAATAAGTACCATTCTTTCATGTGTGTGTGGCACTGTTTGCATATGATGAACATAATATTCAATAAATAAGGATTTGAGTACAAGTACAAAGAATAATTTGGTGTTGCCTACCATACTAATCGATATCTCATCATAGAAGCAAATTTCTTAGGCTATTAAATATAATTTAATGTAAAGAAAATGTTCAGGAACAGAAAAGTCATCTAAAACAACAATCAAAAATATTTTCCATATCTGTGGTTTGGTTTCAGCTGTTATAAACTTTCCATTAGATTCCTCTTTTCATTCCTACAGGAGCTTCGGCTGGTCAACATCTCAAGAAACCATAAATTACTGCTTAAATCATTTGATTTACAGACTTTGT